TCTGCTTCATGTGCTTTGGATGGACACTCCGTCTATGCAAACCCTGGACTGCAGCTTTTTTCTGTGTTACAGGGGGTGGTAGATGTAGGCAGGTTCACACATTCCTGCCCATGCACCTCGCCCCACCCAAAATATACTTTCAGTAAATTTTACTGAAAGTGGACAGAAGAGCATGTCTGGCCCTTCTCTGTAAGCCGTGAGAAACACCAGCTCAGCATTGTGGAGTCCAGCTTGCCAGGCAGCTGGTCCCTGGTGCATTTTTGTACAGCATACTGGGGCCTCTATAGTTTTAACACCTCACTTTGCCTCTCATGTCATCTTTTCTTATTGTCATTCCCAGATGTCCTCAATTTTTTTTAACATTACACTTTTTATATATTTGTAAGATTTCTCAAATCCAAGTAGCGTCTTTAGGTATGTAAGTATGTATTTCTTATAATTATTTTAACATTAGTGAACCTCACCTAATGCTTGGTTTGTCCTGGGCAGTGTTGTAAGCACTTCATGTAGAATATTTAATTTAATGATCCCGTGGAGTAAATATCATTCCTCCTTAGGAAAGCTAATGCCTAGACAAGCAAGTCACTTACCCAAGATTGCTTTTCAAAGGCCAGGTGGTCTGATTCCAGAATCGATCTTGTGAGTCAGTATGCTCTACTCTTTTCACTTGTGACCTTGAAGTTTGGTCATGATTAGCCATGGCTATTGCCATAGTTGACAGTACATTAAATAAATGAAAGCCAGAAAATAGGGACAGCAAAACCCCCTCCTCCAACATGTGCACATACACCCGTGTCAAAATAGAACCATGCCAGATACAAATGATGGCCAGAGCAAGACTGTGGTGGTGAGGGCTGGTGTCCATTATAGCAATGAGCTCTCACCATGCTTTTTTTGCTTTGCACATCTGTGTTATGAAATGGGGATAACCAATTGCATTCCAGTTGTTAACAGTGTGGGGATTAAATGTCAGCCTTGTGTTCTGGGTGTGACAATTCTATTGCATTTATAGGTGACACAGTACAAAAATTACCAAATGCAAATAATGAGGAAGGAATATCTTCTGTGGTTGTACTCTCTAAAACAACCATGAGGAAACATTTTAAAAAGCCAGGTGATGGACTAGTATGTTTTGTTTAGAAGCCAAACTACATTCTTACTGTTTAGAAAACTGATAGACACTTAAGAAATTTTTTTTTTTCTTAAGGATCCTGGGGTTTCAATTCATGTCTTTGCACTTTCTAGGCAGGTGCTCTGCCACTTGAGCCACACCCTCCAATACTTTTTGCCTTAGTTATTTTTCAGATAGGGTTTCACACTTTCTGACCTCAAATCCTCCTGTCTCTGTCTTTTGTGTAAGTGGGATTATAGATGCAACCTACCATTCTGGCCCTGCCTGTTCCTTTTGAATTTGAGATCTAAAGTCCATTTCATTTTCCCCCAAATCTCACCATTGTTGAATCAGAGTAGCTCTTGTGAGGTTTGCTTTTTCATACAGGGGTGTTATGAGTTGCATTGCTCTTGCAAACAAAGCTGAGATTCTGGGCCAGGCCATCTCTACACATTGGTTATCAGACGCAGAGGCTTAGAAGCTATTTGAAACGCCTTTATTGAAGATTTAAAGCTGTTCATATTTCCATTCTCCTGCACAAACATTTAAAAATGTAAGACCAACTGCCTTTGATGGCGGCAGCTGAGGCAATCACACTTTATGAGTTCTGTGTTCTCTTCTTTGAGGCCTGGAAACTTGGAAACATTTTCACAGCTTCTTGCTTATTTTAGAGGCAAAAAACTTGCAGTCAGAGTGCTGACATTTTTAGATTTATAACAGGTGATGGCAAAAGACATACATTGTGCTCATGGAAATGCTAGCGCCACTTCCATGTCCTAGCTCCAATGTATTTATTAACAACTTTTGAGTAAAATCTTAAAATTATCTATTAAGCATAATTTTTCACCCTTTCTGACAGATTACTGGTGCTGCCAAGAAGCTTTTAAGCTGTAAATGAAAAGGGAAAACAATCTTGCATTTGATCTTGAGGGTTTTTTTCCCTCCCCTTCTTCAGTGAATTATCTTAGAATAGTATTGTGCCTTGAGTGCTTTCATTGGAATTTAAAACTGTAAGGCCACCTTTTCCTTCTGTCTGGACTTAAGGTTTCCCACTGTTCTAAGACTGCATTTGAAGTTACCTATCTTATCTTAGGAACGGTTTTAGAAATACTCTTCCTTTTCATTTAAATTTCTTTTCTCTGTAGGTAACCTAATCTGAATAACTGGTTTTTATCAAAGCTTTAATATGCATCCCCCCACCCCTGGCAGCTTTTTACTCCTTTCCTTTTTTTTTCCTTTAAGTTTTTACTTTTATAAAACTTCTGTGATTTGGTTGGCTAACTAACTGGTGTGGTGGTAGGAGCTTTTGTGTTCAACTATAATCTTGGCAATGGGTTTTAAGCAGACATTTGCACTGTCTTTTCCTGCAAATTAGAAACTTCTGGAGTTGGAATAGGACTCCTATATTTCCTCGGAGTTTGATATAAATTGAAATTTATTGTTATCAAATTCTGTTCTAAGTGTTCTTGAAGATTCTGTAAAGGCCAGTAGAGAAAGGAAATTGATTTAGCATTCCAATCTTTGTGATGAATATCACCATGTTTGAAATTTTTAAGTGTCCTACTTATATTAGTTATTTCTCCTAATAACCTTCCTAGCGAGTCTGCTAGGTAAAACTGTTGGGGATTTTTTTCCCCCTTAGTTTGTATTCAGAGGACATCCTTGCCATTGCTCTTAACATCCTACTAACGTGGGTCTGTTAATGGCAGTGATCAGATTTCCATAGTTTTGTGTTTCATGTGGAAGAATCCATGGCAGGACAACTGGGTTTAAATAGAGTTTGTTAAAAGTTAGGGAAAGAAAATACAAAAGGGAGTATTGTGGACCCAGGTAGAAATTGGAAGCAGAGAGAGTGTGTTTCTCTCTTCCAGGTGCTTTAAAACCTTTGCTAACCTATGGGAATGGAAGAACCTGGTGATTCCCAACCAATAATCAGTGAGTGGAGAGGGGCATGGGTGGTCCCTGGGCCAGGTGGAGGTAGTTGAGTTGTTCTTGAGTTAGGTTGGGGATAACCCACACACATTTGCAATTGAAAAGAAGGGTCAGAGGAAGAGGGGAATGTTCTATCTGAAATACAATATTAAGTCATATGTTTTCTAAGAGTCCCCAACTTTCCCTAATTCTAGCCTGCCTCACATCTAAAATGGAAAATGAAAATTTTTCTTAGGTTTCCATGTTTCTGGAAGAAATTCACAGGTAGTGTTAGCATTGCTAGCATTGCTTACCATTTTCATCTTGCAATTTCCAGGTGAAATAGGGTTTCCTGTTTTTTTCTTAGGGGCTGAAAATTTTTATAAGTGGCTATTAGTTTCCATCATACTTAAGGTAAAATGGCTTTTTGTCTATGAATGGAAAAAGTAGATTCAGACATCAAATGTTAGTTTCTGGAAATGGCCCATTGTAGCTCAGTGTAAATTTGTCATTTCAATTATAAAATGTGACAATTACTGAAGCAACTGGGAAACCAGATCTTGGTACAGCTGCACTGTCTACAGAGCGTTCTGGCAGTTGTTTGGATAATGTGCACATGAGTCCAAACCAGTAGTCATGCTTGTAGTGTGTCTTGGAGCAGTTTTTACATAGATTAAAGAAACTTTTCAAATAAACCTTGCTTTCCAATGCAAAGCAGCTCTTTATTTGCTCACAGAAGATTGGGAAGCTCAGTGGAATAAGCTGACATCATGGGCCTCTCAGCAAACTTCAGACAAGTTCCTTCCCTGCACTAAGCATAAAAAGGATGCTTACAGAGCAAAATCGCATTAGTTCACACCGGGCTTCTAAAAAGTCATAAGTGATGGAACCCAGAGGAAAAACTGATACATAATGAAGTCGCCTTGGGAAGCTGTGTTGCTAAGTCTATGACCATTTGACGGTGCTAAAGGAATACAGAGAAATTGCCTAAGAGTTTAGAAAGTCATTTGAAGTTTAGCCAAGTCAAGAAACCACAGTGCAGAAGACAGTGCATACTCTTATTTCTGAAATGAATGGCTGATTGTGTTGTTTTTTAAAATTTATTTTAACAGTACTTGAAATGACGTGAAACATGTTTTCCTTTATTTTCCTGCTTTCATCCAAAGGATGCAATAACATGCTGACATTTATTATTTACAGAATAATAATTACCTACACTGAAAAGCTGATAATTTTATCGTTCCTTTCTTTAGGAGATTGGGGTTCTGTATCTAATACTGCCTCCTGTCCATAATGCTTGTGGTGGGTGTCCACCCCTATCAGTGCAGAGCTAGAGTGAAAGAAAACTCTGGAGGCTCCTTGAGTTGAATAGAAAGATCTCTTTAACTGGGTTCATGGCTTGGCTTTATTACTAATTTGATTTTGATATAGTTGCATTCCTTAGTTTCTCAGTACCTACTTTAATGTTAAAAGAAAAGTCACTTTTCTGGGAAAATACTGAGTTAAATAATCAGGAATTGGATACATTGTATACACCAGTTGAAAGCTCATGTATGAATGAAATCCATTCATACGTGTGTTTAATTTGAAACTCTAATCTTACAACTCTGAGGATTTTCGGGAAGACATTCAAAGGTTTTTTTCCACCAAGATTTCTCAATTGCTAATTTATTTCTAATGCTTGTACATGTGATTTTTGCTTACGCTCTTGTACATCTTGGATTGATTTCTACTTTTGCTCTTTAAGTAAATTCATACATTTTTATAAGAATCGGACCAAATTTTATTGTGGTTTTCGTAGAGTCCTTTGTATTTAATAGGTGCTTATTATTTGGTGGTCAGATGTGGCTTGGTGAAAGGTGTTCTATGATTGGTGTCAGACATACAGTGTTTCCAGCACTAGCCTTGACTCACTATATTTTCTTGGGCAAAATGACAGCTCTGCCCTTTCTTTTTCAGGTTTGAAATGACAAAGAAAAGTCCCAAACACATCATATAGCTCAGAGGTGACAATCAGGTACATCTTTGCAGGAAACTATCCTGTAATAACCGGGCAAGCTTCATACCTGAAGAGCTTAATCCAGTGCTTGAAATGTGACTCCCACCATGATGATTTTCTACAAGGAGTTATCACAAGGGCCCAGATGGTCAGTTAAAAGACCAGTGATTGGGGGTGGCAAAAAATTTGACTTTGTGCTGACCTTTATATTTGGCTACTTACCCACTGTTAGGAAAAACGCCGCTCACAAAGAAAGCTCATGAGAAAAGTCTCACATCCAAGAGCAAGGTTTAAGGGCAGGCTCAAACTGCCAGGCTGGCTGGGGAAAGATGGCACAGCACAGACTCTGGTCCAGGCGTGGCTTTTACAGAAGAGGGAGGTTGAGGAAGTTAGCGCATGCGCTGTAGTCTCTGGTAGGGGTGGGGCTGTCTTAGAGCACTGGAATTTCTGTTAAGGGACGGAGCTGCCATTTTTGTCACTGATTCACAAAATGGCCACATTATTACTGCATCACCCACCACCTTTTTAAAAAACATCGAAGCCACTTGGCTATTAAATGTTTTTAAAGTAGTTTTACTCTGTGTTGGCTTATACTTTTTTTTTTCCAGTACAGGGATTTGAACTCAGAGCCTCGTGCTTTAACAGTTCTCATTCAAAGTCCTTTATGGTTGTTTGACCTCTTCCCAATCTATGCCACTAGTAACATTTTCCTGTTGTGGCAATGTCTTCTCTTCAGACTTTGTCCAAATGTTCCCTTCAAAGCAAAACCACTCCTGAATGGCACCGTTGCCCAGTGTTCACATATTAGTGTCCCTGTAATTCGGGGTGCATCTTACAGCTGGTGACTTCCATAATTGTGTTTGGCAGTGGTGGATCTTTGTGACACGTGGTATCATACAGGAGGTAAGTACAGCATGCTTCAGCCAGCATTTTCTTTCTTTCAGCCCCATCCTTGTAGGTCACAATTGTTTGATGGCATTAGAAGTCTGGGGATTGCATGTAAATGAAGGTGAATTTAAGTCCTCAGTTTGCAGAATTCTATAACTTTATCACAGCTGAAACTCCCTTTTGGACAGTGCCAAAAGGCCTCATCTTATGCAATAAACTGTGGGTTCCCCAGAGATTGGGTAGGGCATTTGTCAGCCTCTGCCTTTTCAAAGCATAATTTTGAAATTTTTAAAAAATTTCAATGTATAGTTTTTCCCACTAGAATATATTATGATTGGCTATGAACTGACTATTAGTTTTTAAATTACTCCCATGTTCTAGCATTGATCGGTATGATTTTATCTACCCAGTCCAAATCTTTTAGAATCCAAATGGGAGGGTGACATGGCAATCTGACTTCCTCCACCGCCCAGGCTGACATTGCCCATGCATTAGTGGTGTTTCTTGAGATGCCCCCCAAGGTCTATGCTGGTTAGGGTGAGAAAGAAATGCATTCCATGTAAGTCCCGTCTGTGTCCTAAAGACTTCCGTACACTGGCTCTGATACCCTTTCTTCTTTCTTCACCTAGGTTCTTATAAAATGCACCTGACATGGACAGGAAAGAGCTGAGTTGAGTATGGGGTTATTAAGCCAATCAGTGTATGTTGTACAGGGTACAGTCTTGGGCAACAGGTTGTAAGCACAGCACCAGAAACTTCCTAATCTATGAGGATATTTTGTATACTTTCAAGTCTTTAAAAAGAAAACTTAAATCAAGGCACAGCTGGAAGATTGTGTGAACTCACCTGAGTCAGAAAGGATGTACCTACAAATCACAAAAACAGGCTTAAGTGAACAGATGGAATTATTCTGGGACACAATGACGAACTGCAATGAATAACTTGTTATCTCTGTGCAAGTATTTTTGCTAAATTAGTAAGATCTGCCAGGGCTACCTTTTATTGAGCACTTAATGTATGCCTAGATACTGTCCAGAGACCTATGAATGGAGACCAAACACTGAACTTGTTGCTCCAGTGGACAGGGACTGCAGTGGATATGGCAGTTATACACTGTGACATGGAGTGCTTGTCCAGGCAGTATATTTATTAAACATCACTCTTGAAATACACTGTCCTCTGCCTAGCCAGGCATTTTGATTGGCTTATTGATTGGTTCAGTCATTATTCTTTTACTTCTATTCTTTTACCACAGTATAACTTCTACATATAATACTGAAATTGGTGATTCTAGGGATTCCTACCTTTTGGCTTCCTTATACAATTACAAAGTCCACTCCACCCGGCATAGCAGTTGCTAAAAGCCCAATGAATAATCAGTTTTAAATTTTCTGTCTGTCAGGTATATGTTCAAGACTGCAGTGTGCAAGTAACATCACAATTGGTCAAATCTGAGAAACAACATAGTTTTTGTTTTTTAATATAGTAAATAAAAATGTTAATTCCTGCTGTGCCTAAGAAGTTTGGAACAGGGAGCAGGAAAGAATTTAATTTGGAAGATGACTTCAATAAGACTTGGGTCATAATTTATGAATTTTGAAGGGAATGCATCAGGCCTCTGTGCTTTTTTTGTGGGACTGTTTACTAGTGAGTTTTCTTCTACCTTCAGAAGTTGTCCTCTGTGGTCTGTGAATGGCAGTGAGCATTTTTGAATCCAGATGGGTCGTTCTAGCCACAGGTAAGCCAAGCCCAGGTATGATCTTCCATTTCTGTGGATTCAGCTGTCTTGATTTTGTAAATGAGAGGCCCAAAATACCTGCGCTCAGTAATTAGTGTCTCTTACTGCATCAGTGTGCTATTTTGGCACTGCTGTCTTCTGTTGCAGAAATTCGATGACATCTGTTTACTTTCAACTCTGAAAGACCTTTTGAAGCTCACTGAATTTGTAGGACATGAGCCTGTTCTTACATTAGAGTTCTTTGCCGTATCTTCTCTCTTCTGGAACATTTTTTACCAAATTGTTGAAAATTAATGAAAACATTTGAACAAATTTAGACATGTATGATGAGAAATGACAGCTTCTAATAAAGGAAAGAGTGTTCTGCTCAAATCTCTTCATGGAGGCTGTGTGCTTGAGGTTAAGTAAGGAAGACTTTCAGTTTTTCAGTGGAGTCTTTTAGAGAAAAGGCCCTCATTGCCTGTAAAAATCTCCAAAGTGGATCGACCAGGGTGACAGTGCTATTCTTAGCAGTGATAATTAGTTCGGCTTAATCGTGTCTGCATTTGGGCTTTTGATCCTGTGCTCATGTGTAGGCCTGTAGAAAGAGATAAACTAAGGTGGGCTAAAGGTTTTTGCTGAGGTTGGTCTATGCAATAAGCATGTGTTCAACTGTAGAAAATGATTGACTGAAATTGAATGGGTTATGAAATGGCCTTAGAGTGGAAAGGACCGTGCTGCATTTATATGTGAGGAATTATGCATAGCAAATACGTAGTGGTACAGGGAAGGATTCATTTCAGCAGCAGTGGTTTTGACCAATGCCTTGGCACCATGGAAATGACAGATCAAGATACAATGCCACTTGTGGAAGAAATGCCAGACTTGTAGAGCAAATCTGAGGCCCTGCAGTTTGTCCCGATGAAGGTGAAGATGAATGTGTACCTGGTCATTAGGAACAGGTCTGGGGCATGCAACAGAATATTCAGGAGAATTGGACAGAAATAAAAACTCAAATTTATTGAAGTAACTGAACAGGTTGGACTGGTTGTGGCTCTCTGTTTGGCTATAGTTGCAGGTGTCTGCCTGAGTTGGCTTCCTTTCTAGGCCAGCCCTTTCCACGTGGTAGTCTCCAGCATCACAAAGTTTAAATCGTCCTTAGTGTTTGCAATGTCATTTGAGTAAGAGCTCCTTGCCCTAAAATTTCTTAGAAAGGACCTATCTCTGGGCCAGTCACTCTGCATCCAGAGTGACATGTTTGTCTAATTGTTAGGTCTGGATTTCTGCCTACTTCCAGTTTCACAGGAGCTTGTAACACTTGGCTTGCCTTTTAGAAAGACTGAATATTGCTTGAGAACTAGTTTCCAGAAAGGAAATCTGAGTACATTCTTGGAAAGAGAGGAATTGATGCAGGCTAAGCAAGAACCACACCTGTTTCATGGGGGATCCAAAAGCAATCTAGTCATTCATTTATTCCCTCATCCTTCCAACAAAGAATTATCCAGCACCTACTATGGCTAGGCATTGTTCTAATGGGTTCAACAGAGTGCAGAATTCCTACAGCCCTTTTCTTCGTGGAGCTTACAACATTTTCGTGCTGTTGTTGGGGTCGTCTAAAGTGGAGAATGTTCCCCAGACATGGTTGCTATAGCTACAGTAAAGGGCAGAGGGTTCAACTGATTCTAGGAATGCAATCAAGGGAGCAGGGCATGAGGTACATTAAGAAAGGAAGGAAAAGATGGAAAGAGGACGTTGATGCTGAGTACTTAGAATATTTTTTTTTATCAAATGTGGAGGTGTTTGTAAACCTTTCTGTTAATTGGGAGTGGGAGAGTTAATGTATTTACTTTTGAGAATGCAGTCATGATACTGTGTTATTTGAGATGCTTTGCCTGCCCTGGAAGAAGCATGGCTTTGGTTATCTACGAGCTTGTTACCACCACTAATGTCTATGATTATCTCTGTCACAGTGGGAATATAGCTGTCAGGGAAAGAGAAAGGCATTTCTTCTTCACCATCAGTAACGCAGCTCACTCACTAGCACTCCAACAAGAGGGGAAGGCACTTAGTAAGAAAAATACAAGCAAAAAACTGTCCTAGAATTTTCACACGTGGAGGTTTTTAATGGAAATACTCAAATAGTCTCACCAGTGGCCTGGGTTTGTTTTTCTTTTTTCCCCCTCTAAGGTCTGAGTTCTTTTGAGCATGAACTGATGGCTTATAAAACAATAACAATAAACAACAACAGGAAAAAAAAACAAGGAAACAAAACAAGACAAAAGCAGGTGTGGCAGAAGTATTTATAACTGAGAGAAAATGGATTTGAATGAACAGATGGAAAAATAAAAATAATACACTTCTTGTTGATGGTGGCAGGATGAGGATTTATTGTGTGCAGAGTGGGTGAAATGTGAAGAAGTGGATGTGATATATGGAATTAAATATATGGAGGAGAATCAGGGTTTGCTCACTGTTTTTGCTGGTTTATGGCCTAGTGTATATTACCTTTTGCACAACTTCCCCTGCCTGAGAACTGGTGCTGTCCTAATTTCACATGGAGGAATTTGTGACAGAGAAGGGTTCAGGAACTAAGTTTCCATGATTCGTAACTGTTAATTCAGGCAGTAAAACCCAAGACTTTTTTTTTTTCCCCACTTCCTAAGACTTTAGTTTTGTTCTTTTTTTTGTTGTTGTTGCTTGTTGATTGGTGTGATGGTTTGGTGTTTGTTTATTTATCTACTTATTTTAGTTTTCTTTTTCCCTTTGGCTTTTCATCACTGCCCTCATTGCAATTGTCCCTTGGTTTCAAGGGAGAATTGGTTCCAGGATCTGTTGCAGATAGCAAAATCTGAGAATACTTAAGTCCTTTTTATAAAATTGCAAACGTTTGTATGTAACCTACAGGTATCCTCCAGTAAGTTTAAGATCCGGTCTAGATGACTTGTAACACCCAGCACAATGTAAATATATGCAAATAGTTGTCATGGAGATAATGACAAGGACAAAATACTTCTTCATGTTCAGTACAATGAAGTTTAAAAAATTTTGTTTGGATTCATGATTGATTGCACCTGTGTGTGTGGACCCCAAGGACACAGAGGGTCAACTTTACTTCATATCATCTGGTTAACATATTAAAGGTGATCAGGACTCTTCTTCCAGAGGAATCCCTGCATGGCCTTGCTTTGCTAAGAAACAGTCCTACTTTGCATGGTTTCAAGGTCCTTTCTGAGCACTCAAATGATTACCACGCCTGCTCTGAACTCTTTCTCTTCCCTGACAGTGCCTCTTTGCTCTCAGCTTTCTTCCATCTCCCACCTGCTACCATCTTACTTGCTCCCTCTTGTGCCCATGCAATTAGTCTTATTCTTCTGTGGTGACAATTGTGCCTCCAAATTGCTTTTTTCTGAATGCTTGACTCTGGGAGCTTCTGGGCAGAAATTGGGTCTTATTTGTTGAAGCTCTGTGTTTTTACACTAAGCAAAACTACAACAAAAGAAATGCTGAAGGAAAACATATAAGTGGTAAGATTGAGAGGGCTGGGAGTTCTTGGAATTTCCTTTTCAGATTGAATCCCCAAGAAGAACGTTAGGGCCAGGAACCATGCCTAAAATGATTTCTAGTAATATTTTTAGGAAAATTCTTGGCTCTAGGTTGTTTTTGAATGGCTATTTTGGGGCAAGATTGCCTTTCTTTTCTTGTGCTCCAGGCAATTGGATGAAAAAGTCTTCTTTCAAATGGGAAGACTTGTTCATAGCTGAACTGGCTGATTCAAGTCTCTTAATTATTTTACCATATTTATGCCTGCCACAGGAAATGTGAAAGTGGATATTTTTAGATCCTTAGTCTTAAATTATTAATACAAGAAGTCAAAACTGGGAAGAGAGCTCAGTTGCTACATGGCCATACTGTACTCATAAACATTATCCGACTGCAGAACAGAATTTCTGGGTTAAACCCTGGAGGCATTGCAGTAATCCTCTGTGTGGATGAATTCTTTCTGTAAATGAACCCTGGCATCTCCAAAGCAAGCCATCTCCTGCCTCTAGTGAACTGTCTTTGCAGAATTTCCATTGCTAGAACTTGGAATGGGTTAAAAAATTTATTTTCCCGAGTAGTGCAAGGGACCAAGGATTATCCCCCAACTCTGAAAGATTGCAGTCCGTGTCCTGTGTGATAACACCTGTGCTTATGAACACTTTTTAGCGATGCTTCACTGTCTTTCAGTTCCTTCTGATTATATCTCTTGTATTGGATAAGAGACTTTACCTTTTTCGATTGATTTCCTTCTCCTAGTTACTACAATTGGAAGTGACAGTCATGTTTTTTTTTTTTTTTTTTTGATGCTGGAGTTGGCATCCAGAGCCTCATGCATGCCTGGCAAGCTCTCTTACACTGGGCTGCACCCCTAGCCCAACACTTCTAATCCAGTCTACCTAGCATTTTCTGTGAGTCCTGTGCTGAAGCTATTTGGAAGTTCAGTTCCCATTCTAATTTGAGCTGGTAACCGGCTTATTTGTATCTCTTTATATTCTTAGTTTCATAATAATTACATTTGTTTTCAAAGTTTACTTAGAATTCCTGTCTTTTTTTTTGCCTATGGTGGATCATTCTTTGTCTTTGTACTGGCTTTGAATGATTGATACTTCACTCAGTGTGGTAAATTTGACATGAGGCTATGCACTGACTTCAGGCAACCTTTTTAAGCAGCATTCTTCATCTTTATATGGTTGAAGGAATTTACATGTTCAGGTCTGGATTATTCAGCAGCAGGATGTCTTCTAATTTCCTTTCTTGGTGTCCCTGAGGGCAGGGAGCTCTCCTAATTTCCTATATAACTTCCATTGTCTGTCTCAGTGCCCTCCTGGGAGATGGTCTAGAAGCACTGTTTGTTGGAGGATGTGTAAGGATTTCTTCCTGCCAAGAATCAGGTAA